CAGACAACTACAACTGGATTTTAGATATAAGTAGTTTGAGAGACTATCAGAAATTCTTGAAAAAGAACTTAATCAACCTAGGTCACTTAAGATGATTTAAAGAATACTAGTTGAAACTTTCCCATATAGAGATGAGTAGGCTTTCTGATGTCATGGGGTTTCACATAATCCCGACTCCCAAAAGCTTATCTCATCTAGGATAGACAGCAGTTACGTTCCTGCCTAAATCTCATCTGCACCCTGAGCGAGATTCGATAACGGGTCGTGAGTATCGTGGCGGATGTTAGTGAGCTACAAGGCAGATACGACATTCAAATCAAGCTGGGCATCTCTAAACTACCATTTTATGGTAGGATTGTCGGGTACGCAAACATGAATTTGCCATTGCAATCAAGAACGCTACCTATTTTCGACATAAAGAGTTATAAAACTACCAGTAATGCTCAAATATGAGCTAAAGGAAGGTAGCTAAAAGAGGATGGACCTATTTAAGTTCTTTTAATCACTTAAAGCGTCCTTGAGATTAAATTCCTGTTAGAGATAATAGCTCATCAAAGAGCCAATTAAATGAAAAAATTGATAAATTATGACAAATTTTACATTAAACCCAAAATCAAAATAAATTTGAATCGTGAGTACGTCAGATAAACTACTAATGTTCAGCCACTGAAAAGTACTTTTGGAAATGCATGCTAATTCATATGTAAAGTGGCTATCTGACCATAATATTGCCACCAACATAGGAGCCTCCAAGGCGATGTGAATATGCTCCAGGCGGATAAGAGTCATAGCCAAGACCATCCTCTTCAGCTTCGGCATTACCCATACTTCCGCCTCCTCCTAGTAACCTAGGTTCACCAGCAGATTCTTCGGAGTGTAAAGCGTTAATGGAATCACGTCTTCGAACTTCTTGCTGAGCTTCGCGAGCTTCTCGCTCCTGGCGGGCGGCAGCCGCTTCAATTGCCTCCATTGCAGCGTTTGCTTCGGCAATGAGGGGATCGACAGCAACTTTTTGGTTAGTAACATAAGGAATAAGGTAAATAAATGGGAAAGGAGTAGATACATGGATAAAATTGCAGACCACAATGCAAAACGTGTTTCGTAAAAGGTTGGCCAGAACGAGTAATGAAGACTAATATAAAGCCGACCAAAATAATTCAGACTAGGGATACACCGGGAAACAGGAGTTACAAGCTAAGCGTAAATATGAAGACTAAGACGCCGTGGCCTCTATTTTGGTCACAGTCCCCTTTTAATGTATATAAGTGGTCTGACTTCGCTTTCGCAATTTGGTCGCGTTGTCAAGGCAACTTAATTGGAAGCACACTTAGACAATTGTTTGAGGAACATGTAAAGTTCTAAAGCAACTTGTTTGTATACCAAAACTAGGCTTGATATCGCTTACGCTTTCTAAACTGCCCCGAATCAATTAGGAATATATTAATGGCAAATTAGAGCTATCTCCACCTTTTTATGTTTAGCACCTGTACCAATATATAATCTATATATAAGGTATTTTGTACTGACAACACTGAAAGTTGGGTGGTTTCATAATGTGAAAGTAGATCTCACGATGACATTAAATTTCACTTAGCTCTGCCTCCAAAAAGGCTATATATAAACCTTTAATGAGACGATAATAACACTGTTTAAAGAACCTAGAAAGTGAAGATGATATCATAGAAGAGGAGCAGATCGAGGAGTCTTTGACACGATTAAACAGTCCGACAATTAGGACGACTTAGATAATACTTAAATAAACAAGCTGGATAAAGAATAGAAAATATCACCATTATCGACGCGACTGGTAGTGTGATATGTGAACTAATTTGCAATCTGGTCAGATGGTTAAGAAAAATGAGAGTTCCTTATGCTTACTAAATCAGACTGAGGAAAAAGTAAAACTCAGAATTAAGGTAAAGACGGACCATTACTATTAAAGACAAAATATGTAAAGTGCATCAATAAATTTGCCGATAAAATTAGTGACCTTTTAACTCAATTAGTATAACTTTAGAGCTTTTGTAGCCACTACTACAAGAATGCCAGAGTACATATATTCTGGATCGAAAATTACCAGCAAATCTCCGCTTTCTATTTTATGCTCATCGATTAAATCAACGAATTCATACGGATATTTTAATGAAAACCGCAAGGTCTCTAAGATTGGCTCTAATTGATGACAAAAAAACGTGATGTCTTATGCATCAAATTACCCTTATTGTTCAAAATAATTCTACATATGACCACGTATTTATGTATTTTTGGCGGACCATATCCATTCTGCATCTCGCTAAAGTGTGTTTATCGTCCTCTTTCCCAATTCTCCGTTTCCCAAGCATTGTTGCAGATAACCCTTGAGTTGAAACTTAATGGTTTTTTACAGAGATCTTAGATATAGCCTTGTATGATTCAATTTTATCTAGCACCTTCACTACTTCTCTTCATAAACATAGATGCAAACTTAGCCCACGTAACATGTGTCAATTTGTATTGCCCCAAACCTCCCCTGCAAATTCCAAGATGATTTGGAATGCATAAAGATCCTGGAACCAGCATATCTAATGAGGCGTGATTTAGACGCTTATGAACCTTCAGTTCTATGTCCCCAAGACTCTAGGAACACTGTGAACGGCCTCTGAAACCGGTGATGAAGATAATTGTACTAAATTTGATCTACTCAAAGCTACACGCTCTAAGGTGGAACGTAGGCAAACGAAAACATAAATAGAGGTTGTGTGACCTTGTTTTTGCAACTTGGTCATATTGGTAGGAAGACCTAGAGAAACGCACTTAGTCCGGAGTCCAGACTATGCATGATAATTTCCATAGACGGATCATGGATGTAGTATATATTCCCAGACGTTTCGCCTGCCCTATCAGTGAGCTTTGAAAGTCTTAGCACCATACTGCAACTCGTCAAAGAGACAAACAAACCGATCATTTGACATTTAGACTGTTAAACAATCAGAATATCTCTTCTTCCACCCAGGGCAAATCAACAATCCTATATCCCCGTGTCACGTGTTCACTATCACAATATTTTACTTGTGTATTTAAATGTGGTATGATGTGCCCATTTAACGGATTTCATCAGAACTCTCCACACTCTACACTGGCCTTCTCACTCATTCACTTTCTCTACCCTTGTGCTGGGAATGTTGATCAGTCTGTCCTATTGTTACGCAGTCTTCCGCTTGCCTCGTAGGATCGTTCTGTTATCTCACTTGTTCAAGTATTTCACTCAACCCCTGCCGCCCCATCTGTGCTGCTCGAGGCGTTATATGCCTGCGTCTGAGATACAAACTCGAGGCTAAAGCACTTGAGTAATTATCATGGTCAAGCATTTGCTTCATGAACAATGCCTATGGTAAAACAAGCCTACTGTCAGCCAACTAGCTCTGGTCTCCGTCGCGTATATTCTGTTTCTATCCCTAATTTCAAATCTATCACTTCCTATGCCTTAGTTTCTTGTGTGCTAACGTACAATGTTGTGGTATTCCTTACTTTGATTAGGTTTAAGGTTGAACCACAACATTTGTGGGTTGGCACACAAGAGACTAGGGCAAAGAAAATCATAGACTTAGTATAATGGGCAAACAGGATAGAAGCGGCGGAGACTAAAGCTAGTTGACTGAAAGTAGGCTTGTTTTAAAATAGACGCGGTCCATGAAGCAAATGCTTGACCGTAAAAATTATTCGGGGCTTTAGCCTCAAGTTAATCTTCTAGAAAGGGAGTGTGGAAAATAACACCTGTCTCTTTGACGAGTTGTAGTGCGGTGCAAAGAATTTCATGAATCCTTGACTATGCCGGCGAAACGTCTCGGAATGTACCACGTCCAAGGTCCGACTGGAAATTTGCATGCATACCATGGACTCAGGACTAAGTGCGTTCCTCTAGGTCTTCCTAGCAATATAACCAAGTTGCGAAAATAAGGTCAAATAACTTCGATATGTATATAGGTTAATGGACAGATTGTAACTAACCAGAGGAGCTGCGAAGA